TTAATTCAACTAGCTGACCAGTAGAGCTGTAAAAGTAACGAGAAAACCAATACCCGTATGTATTCGTTACTTCAGATCTGACTACCCGTATAAAAATATTCGTTACTCGTTACTTTAGTTACTGTGATGCGAATCTACAGAACATGCGGCGCATGGGCCTCGCACACGTCTAATGCGGAATTGGGGGTCGATTCTCGACTTGTAGGAACCTTTTCCTATAGGAATTTATGACACTTTTCTATATGTAGGAAAATGTCATAAATTTTCGATGTACATAAAAATGTCAAAAATTCCTATAGGAAAATATTCCTACAAGTCGAGAATCGACCCCCTGGTGTCTAACTAATCGTACGTACGCATTGGTTCGGTTGTTAGGTTGGTACTGTCTAACAAGGGGTGCGGATGAGATTAGATATCGAATCGTTGGTTAATTAAATACGTAGCGAATTTGTAATTAGTAACAAAGTCGTGTAGTTCACTGAGCATGAGCAATGACGTAAAGTATTGCAAAATAAAATATCGTCAGACAGAAACATATATATTTTTCTAACACACTAGTAGAAACAATAATAATACTCCATAAAATCATAACTTAAATAAACAAAAACATATTATATTCTTGCAACACGCTAACAGAAAAACAACTATTATACTATTCTATAAAACCAAAATAAGTCCCAGTCGGCGTGCGACTTGATAGTCATCGATAGCTCGATTCGCATCAGACTCACACTCGCATTTCGTATCTTGCAAACCAAACCGGTATGTTTGTGCGATATGCGACGATGCGGATTCGAGTAACGAAGTAACGAAATTTAAAATGCAGTAACGAATTCGTATTTCGTATCTGACCGACTACCCGTTACTGAGTAGAGCTGTGGCAAACCGTATGTATTCGTTACTCAGTAACGGGTAGTCGGTCAGATACGAAATACGAATTCGTTACTGCATTTTAAATTTCGTTACTTCGTTACTCGAATCCGCATCGTCGCATATCGCACAAACATACCGGTTTGGTTTGCAAGATACGAAATGCGAGTGTGAGTCTGATGCGAATCGAGCTATCGATGACTATCAAGTCGCACGCCGACTGGGACTTATTTTGGTTTTATAGAATAGTATAATATTTGTTTTTCTGTTAGCGTGTTGCAAGAATATAATATGTTTTTGTTTATTTAAGTTATGATTTTATGGAGTATTATTATTGTTTCTACTAGTGTGTTAGAAAAATATATATGTTTCTGTCTGACGATATTTTATTTTGCAATACTTTACGTCATTGCTCATGCTCAGTGAACTACACGACTTTGTTACTAATTACAAATTCGCTACGTATTTAATTAACCAACGATTCGATATCTAATCTCATCCGCACCCCTTGTTAGACAGTACCAACCTAACAACCGAACCAATGCGTACGTACGATTAGTTAGACACCAGGGGGTCGATTCTCGACTTGTAGGAATATTTTCCTATAGGAATTTTTGACATTTTTATGTACATCGAAAATTTATGACATTTTCCTACATATAGAAAAGTGTCATAAATTCCTATAGGAAAAGGTTCCTACAAGTCGAGAATCGACCCCCAATTCCGCATTAGACGTGTGCGAGGCCCATGCGCCGCATGTTCTGTAGATTCGCATCACAGTAACTAAAGTAACGAGTAACGAATATTTTTATACGGGTAGTCAGATCTGAAGTAACGAATACATACGGGTATTGGTTTTCTCGTTACTTTTACAGCTCTATTACTGAGTAACGAATACATACGGTTTGCCACAGCTCTACTGACCAGTGAGAGGTGCCATATTAGCATACTGGGGAACATTAAAGTCTCCTAAAACAAATACTTTCTCGTAATCAACAAAATTTAAGGTGGAGAGACAATCAAATAAGGCTTCATAATCAACAACTTTAAGACTTGGAGGAATGTAAACAAGTAGTATTAATATTTTGTAATAATTTAATGTAATCGTAGTGCCTAGAATATCAATAATTGGAATAACATCGCTAATAAATGTTAGATCTATTTCATTACTAATAAATTTTTTATTGACAGCTAGCAAAACACCCCCACCGTAATTTAATTTAACTCGAGAAGTAGATCTATCCTTTCTATATACATGATAATTATCGGAAAATATCTCACAGCTACGAAAAGATTCGTTTAACCAAGTCTCTGTCAATGCTACAAAATCAAAATCGGACTGAAGAGAAAACAAGTAAACGGTATTTATTTTAGTTCGAATTCCACGGACATTCTGATAATATAGATAGCAGGTCAAGTTTTTATTAGAAATATTAAATGAATTATTTTGCGGGTGTAGAGCTGTACCACCAATGGTTAATACATCCGACTGACTCATTTGCGATTGCTATGCTACATAAAGTGAGGATTTTAATTCATCTATATGACGTTGGTAAGAATTACAATGGGTGTCCCATGCAGCATGATTTACATTAATTTGAACCAGAGAATCCCGTTCCATCACCTTTACACAATTTATACATTTTAATTCATCAACTGAAGCCTTACATTCTTTTACAGCATGTTTTTCTGCACACCTTGGACAAATTTTTGTACCAAAATCCTTCTCATCAAACTTTAATCAACTTTAAACAATGTCACGATGTCACGTTTTTTGAAAATGATATTGACTTAAAATTTTCAAGAAAAATCAAGCTGTATAAGGGGAGGAAGCCCATTGATTTTGAAAAAAATCTGAATAAAAATGAGGCGTTGAAATATAAAAAAATCCTTACTCAAAAACGGAAAATGATATCAACTTGAAATGTTTCACAATAATCAAACTTTATAAGATAACGAAGCCTATTGATTTTGAAAAAATCTAATAATATATAGAGTGCCAAGTATTATTATATCTTTTATTTTTGTTCTCTTATTATTATCTAGAATCTAAAAGAAAATTTATATTTCCCCTAAATATATTTGATGAAATATAATTTCTAAATAAAGATTTGTTTTCCCCACATTTTTAATTTATATTATCAATTGTTGATAAATGAAGATGTCTGTGGTATGAAAGGATAAATAAAAACATTTGTATGACTAATTTATTTGTATACCTAATGGACAAAACAAAATACAGGTATCACTAAATATAAATATTTTTTTTTAATGTGAAAAAGGCTAAATTTGCATTAGAAAAATAAAAAATTTAGATTGTTACAGATTTGCTAGTTTAGTTTATTAATGAAGTTTTTAAAATTAATAAATACCACCACATAAAATTAGTTTTTGAAACCATATAAAACTTGGGAATCTGTTTTATCCATGTTTTATCACTATCATTTATCCTCTTTACTCAATATATCCTGTTATAACTTTTTCTTATCAAATAATAAAATAAATTATCTAAATAATGTAAATTAAGGTTGGCGTTTCGCCCATACAAATCCGCTGCATATGCAGATATTACTTTCAAGTCTTTCAACGTAGTTTTCAGCAAAAATATAGATACTTGGGACTAATTTTAATATTAAAATCAGTTCATGAAGTGTGCCTACAGGTTATCAAGACTCGTTAGAAATGTAGTTTTTTTTAAATATCAAAACATGACTGACTTTTGGAATCTAAACCATCCATGTGGAATCACTGACTTGTCTATGAATTTCCTTCAAAATTAAATATATTTACACGTTTTCTTTTCGTTACAACCCATACAACTAAAACATCAGACTGCAAAATAATGTTTAATTTTCATGAGAACTACGTTTAAAATAATACAGATTTTTTAATGGAAAACACAATTATAATCACTACCTGTATCGCATGAACCACATTTTTTGAAGGGGGTAGAAGACAAAGGGAACAAGTACCTCTTTTTGTTAAAGTTAGAGTCAGCCAATTGCGAAAACTAGATATAAATATGTGTTGGAATATAAAGGATCCAAATGAATTTTTTAAATCTAAACGCTATTTTATTGTACACTAAAAAAAGACATGTGAATAGCATTGCAGTTATGTATTCTTAGCCTATGATTATTATATATTATGTGTTTTGTGCATATTTAGTATACTCTTCATACACGTCTTTGAAGAGATTTATATGTTTATTTTCGCGAAACCAAAAGTTTTAATATTGATCTACATTTACAAATTTTTGTACCAAAATCCTTCTCATCAAACTTTAATCAACTTTTAACAATGTCACGATGTCACGTTTTTTGAAAATGATATTGACTTAAAATTTTCAAGAAAAATCAAGCTGTATAAGGGGAGGAAGCCCATTGATTTTGAAAAAAATCTGAATAAAAATTAGGCGTTGAAATATAACTAAAATATATATATAACTAAAAAAATCCTTACTCAAAAACGAAAAATGATATCAACTTGAAATGTTTCACAAAAATCAAACTCTATAAGATAACGAAGCCTATTGATTTTGAAAAAAATCTAATAAAACTCACAAGCAGAGAGCCCCAATAATGCAACAGCTTTAACTTGTATGGTTGCGCACGAATCAGACTTAGTGTACGATAGGGATTATTGCACCATAATTTTTGACTCGCATTATAAAAATATGTAGTAAAATGTTTGACATTGTGTCAATGAAGCAAATAACAACCTATAGTGTTTTTTTTTTTTGAGTTTAATTTGTTCTGAAATATGTAGAGGTACAAATAAATTTTTCCTTTTTTTTTGTGAAAAAATTTTCAATTTCCATCTTTCTTACGATCGTCATAAGTAGCATTCCCTGAACAAACCTGCCCACAAAAACTACAAACTTCACTTATTTGCAGATTTTATTGTAGCTGGTTAAGTTTAAACTCAATTAACTCGAAATAGTTTAATTGGTACGTATACCCTTTGTATTCTAACTCCTTCATCATCATGCTCACACAGATGAAGTCACAAATAAAAGGAATATCTGGCAGAATCGACGGATTTCAGGTTTTTTCCATGGGTCAGCAAATTACGAAACAATGAATTAATTTCTTTCATTTGCACCACACTGTATAATTGATTGATTTTAGCAAAGCGAGGCACTTCATGATTTAGTAGAATCATCAAAATGTCATGAAGTTACAGTCCTACGAAAAGAAGGTCAAATCAACGAAAAGAAAATAATTGACCCTGTTGAACTTGTTCCTGGTGACCTCATTGTCCTTCCTGCATCAAATTATGTAATGCCCTGTGATGCAGTCCTTCTGACAGGACAGTCTATTGTCAATGAAAGTGTTCTAACAGGTAATTATTTTATAAATTTAGTTATTTTTATGATAAGACGATTATTTTTTTGCAAGAAAATCTGATTCTGATTTTTGGTTACTAATTTTTAGGTGAAAGTGTTCCCGTAACGAAAACTGCCTTACATTCAAGTTCAGAATCATATGACATAGAAGCACATAAAAGACACACACTATTCTCAGGTACCCACGTCATCCAAACTCGTTACTATGGCGACGAAGACGTTTTAGCAAGAGTTGTTCGGACTGGTTTTGACACAACGAAAGGTTCATTAGTCAAAAGCATTTTATTCCCAGTTCCTATCGGTTTAAAATTCTACAAAGACAGTTTCAAGTTCATTTTAGTTTTGTTTGCAGTTGCCGCGGCAGGAATGACATATTGTTTGTATCTCTATATTTCCAGAGGTGTAAGTATATTTAGGTATCATGTTAGAACTTGTTTGAGTAGTTCTGTTTTAGGCACCTCTCAAACATGTCATTATTAGGACATTAGATGTTATAACAATTGTTGTTCCTCCAGCTCTACCAGCTGCTATGGCTGTTGGTACAGTATACAGCCAAAATCGTTTGAAAAAAATTGGAATATTCTGTATAAGTCCTCCTAGGATAAATGTCTGTGGCAAAATCAAGATAGCGTGTTTTGACAAGGTAAAGATTCTTTGATAGCTGACAATTGTCATAAGTGACAAGTAACAGTTATATGTTAGGGATAGGTGACAGTTATACACATTGTCACATTTGATACATCCCATTTTTGGATTAAGTATATAGGGAAGTGCTCAGATTTACAGAATGTTCTAGTTTATTTATTTATTTATTTTTAACTTATTTAATTTATACTCTTTACAACACTAATATATTTCTCAAGAAAACTAATTTACTTTAACAATATGTATCTTAACACAACATTATCTCGACTTAAACTGACTATAACAGCAAACGTCCTTCCAGTAGAACCAGAACATACATCGGCAGATCCACTTTTTATTAAACTGGTGCCTCCGGTATTTTCTAGAAGTTTACTTAGTAGACGACGGTTTCTTTGACTAATATGCATGATCATAGGCGTATCTTTAGGGATTTCGGGGGTTATTTATTCGAAAGAATATTCTTGGCAACAGGATAGATGGAGGACATAAATAGACCAAATGGGGCAGAAAGGGACTTAAGAGAGCAGAGCATATCCGGACTGGTCTAAAATGGCTTGCATGATAACTTTTTAATATATAGAAAGATTTTTACTTAAAAAAATATATCTTTTTAATTGTTCAATTTTAGACTGGCACCTTAACTCACGATGGTCTAGAAATGAATGCTATCATCCCCAGCAAAAATTCTGAGTTTTGTCCAGTAGTAACTGAAATTTCCACGTTAGACAATGAAGATAAATTAGTTCAGGGAATGGCAACATGTCATTCTTTGACAAGAATTGATAATGAGATTAACGGTGATCCGTTGGACTTAAATATGTTTGAATTCACCAGATGGGTAAGCAAATACATGTTTTATATAAAACAGGTGGAATATTTAGATATTTTTTATTACAGGAATTACATGAACCCGGTGAAAATGAAAATGAACGTTATGATATGTTAGCGCCAACTTATGTCAAGCCTCATGGAACACATATAAAAGATACATCTAAAGTATGTGAACTTTGTGTGATAATTGTTAGATTTTAGTTAATTCATTTTATGCGTTTTAGCTGCCATATGAAATCGGTATAATTCGCCAATTTACCTTTTCCTCCACACTCCAATGCATGTCTGTGATATGTCGTGATTTGCGTGAAACAAACATGATTGCATTTACTAAAGGTGCTCCTGAAAAATTGTTTGGCATGTGTCTAAGAGAAACACTTCCTACAGATTTCACAATTAAACTATCTCAGTACACCGCACAAGGATTCAGAGTGATTGCCTTGGCTTATAAGCATTTACCCAATAAATTGAAGTGGGTTGAGGCTCAAAAAATCAAAAGAAATGTGGTAAGACAATGAACCCCTTAATTCTCTGTGTTCACATAATTTTTTAATAACAAATTAAGTGCAACTAATTGTATATTAAACATTGACAGTTGACATTGCCAGATGACATTGTAAGTGTCAGTTTGTCAGTAACAATGTCTTAGTTGTCACAAATTTATTATGAAGAAACATTTATTTTCTAGATAGAATGTGATTTAACTTTCCTTGGTTTCCTGATAATGCACAATCCTTTAAAAGAAGAAACTGCTCCTGTCATTAAAACATTGCACAATGCCAATATAAGAACTGTCATGATAACAGGTACAATATCCACTCAATTTTGGAGGAATATCTAAAAAAAAAATAACTTTTAGGTGACAATATTTTGACAGCTATATCAGTAGCGCACGATTGCGGCATGGTGAAAATATCTGATCAACTTTTCATTTTGACTTTGGAAAATAAAGAAGATCCCCATGGAATTCCTGATCTCAAATTTGAAAGAGCTAGTGGAAATTTACCTACTGACTCTGTAACAGTTGATTTCAGTTTAGACGTAAGAAAAACAACTTTTTTTATCGAAACAACTGTTAAGTTCTAATTTTTTAGCATCATCATTTTGCCATCGATGGAAGGACATGGTCAAAATTAAAATATTATTACCCAGATATGATACCGAGTCTGTTAGTGAAAGCGACCATTTTTGCTAGATTTCAACCAGATCAGAAGACGCAATTGATAATGTTTTTGCAAAATTTAGATTACATCGTTTCCATGGTCGGGGACGGTGCAAATGATTGTGGTGTAAGTAATATTTATCATTTTGGTTGTTCTACAGCTTGTAAAAGGTTTAATAAATCAAAAGAGAGGTTGAATAAAACTTCCTTTATTGAACATAAATAAATTAAATAGAGTGGAAAAATGATAATAAAAATGTAACTTAAACGACTATAAAAACAAAACAAATCCCGTGACATCCAAATAAATCAGTTCAAGACAATAAATCTTTGTTGTAACAACTACGATGGATCAGTTGTCTGCTGATACATCCATGCACAACCTTTTTCTATCGCCACACATTCTCGATTGATTCCCGCATACATGTAACTCTTTCCTTAATTTTTAAACAAATCCCCACAATAATTTAAGGAACTAGAGATGTACTCATAATATCTTATAATCTACTGAAGCCCTTTACCAATTCTCGTCTAAGAGAGACTTGTAACCTTTCTCTTAACTGCTCATTTGGTATGCATTTTGAGGAAATTGGTACTTAGAACGTTTGGAATTTCCACTCTTCAATTAATTTATTTATTCTAAAATACTTAGATCAGCACTATTTATATTTCACACTTATATTCTAATTTAGATAACAATTCAAATGTATCTTCGACTGTGTCTCGCCTTCAAGTTATTGACTTCTACTGCAACATAGCCGATTTATATAAATTGGTGTGGGCTCTAGATTATTCTCGCTGTAACAATTTATTAGACTGGTACCTCTGGCAAATTCTCGAATATGCATTTACCAAATTCGTATTCATTCTAGTTAGTGTATTCTTTGAATGATTCACTACGACTAGCCATAGTCCTAGCACTGGGGGTTGACTTATTTTTTTAAATATTTAAGCTTAAACAAGGCAGAGAGGACTTAAGGATTAAAGCATGACCATGATTGAAAATGATATGTATTACAAAGGTTAATACATAGTTTTATTACTAATATAGTCATTAATAATATATAGTTAATTTACTTAGAAGTAGTTAAACAATTTTAAAGAAAATCTTTAGGAAATCAGAGATGGAATAAGGTTTTAAATTACACAGTGTTGTTATTAATTTTTTTTATTTGTTTTAATACGCCAAATTTAATGTTACGGATGGTTTTGAGGATCGTTCACATAGTACTGCCTAATTTTATGATCTTACGAGAGCGTTCGATACGGTTCAACATGACATTTTATTATTAAAATTAGAGAGATATGGAGTTAGAGGGACACCATTACAGTTTATTACCTCTTATTTGCAAAAAAAGAACTCAATATGTTCAAATTGATGGGCATACTTCGGGCAAGAATTCAGTACTGTATGGAGTTCCACAGGGTTCTGTTCTCGGACCCTTGATTTGTCAATTAATCTAAGTAATATCATACAGGTGTATTATGCTGATGATTCAACATATATTGCTACAGATAAACATAAATCTGATACAATAGAAAGGCTAAATGAAGCAGAAGTTATGTCAAATAATTGGTTTGGTAGCAATGGTTTTACATTAAACGAAGCAAAAACTCAGCAAATGTCATTTTCTATCATTGCTAAAAGTGAGGAACAGGTTAAACTTTTAGGAATATATTTAGACCCGAATCTAGCTTTTAAATATCACATTCAAAGTTTACTAAGTCGTTTAGCAAAAACATTGTACATTTAAAAATGGTCTAATTTTCATTATTTCATAGCATTATGACGTATGGGGTTATACTTTGGGGAAATACAAGCAACCAACTTAAGGTATTTATTGCACAAAAAAAGTAGTACGTATCATGACATCGAGTAGCTACAATAGTCACTGCCAACCTATTTTTAAACAATTGGGTATTTTACCACTACCATGTTGTTTTATTTTAGAGTGTCTTTTATACATGAAAAAACAAATTGGTAATAATAATGTTGTAAGACAGAGCTCTAAACATTCTTATTGCACCAGAAGACATTATGATATATCTTTACCTAATTACAGATTAACCAAACTTTATGATTCTTATAGATATATCAGCATTAAACTGTAAAATTCCCTACCTCAAGTTTATGAAAACTCATCTTTTAATTTATTTAAAATAAGAATTCCCACATTTTTGTCGAGTCGTGAAAAGCACGATACAGTAGAAAAGAAACATAGACTTGTAAATAAGATAAATAGTGACTTTGAAGCCAAAATATACTGCTCAGCGGTATTCTTTGATATCTCTCAAGTCTTTGACAAGGTATGGCATAGAGGTTTTCACTATAAAATGAAACCTAATCCTCCATATCAATATTATCTCCTACTACAATCGTACCTCGATAACAGACATTTCATTATAAAACAAAACAATGAATATTCCAGTCTTCATCCTATCAAGGCAGGTGTCCCTCAAGGAAGCGTCATAGGTCCAGTATACTTGATTTACACTGCAGACCTCCCCTCTACCAAAGAAACTCTTCTGGCAACTTATGCAGATTACACAGCAATCCTGGCATCTCACATTAACCCCAAAACCTCGACAAAATCAAAACTGGCTTAAAAAATTGATGATTAAGGCAAATGAAACCAAATCTGCACACATAACCTTTTCTACTCGAAGAGAAATATGTCTTTCAGTCAAAAGATTTACCTGGAAAACACACATCTTCACAAAGCGAAAACAGTTGAGCATTAAATTTAGCAAAACTTACTGGATTATAGGGCGCAAATCCCAGTTATCATCTTGCTATACAAAGCAATTCTTAAACCCGTGTGGACTTATGGAATCCAACTTTGGGGCACTGCCAGCAACAGCAATATAAAAATACAAAGATTCCAGAATAAGCTTATCCGTTGCATCGTCAATGCACCCTATTATATTCCAAATAGGGTTCTCCAACAAGACATCCCTCTAGCATAAGTGAAAGAAGTGATTACTCAGGTCAATGACAGTTACTGTCAAAGAGTGTTAGTGCATCCCAATGTTCTAGCCAACAGAGTTTTTGAACAGACAGGCGAACCAAGGCGACTCAAGAGGTTTACACCATTCGAACTAACAGACAGATTTAAATATTGTTGTAGTGTTCTAGAAATTAATTAATTAGCTTAAAATTATTTTAGGTAGAATGTTTAATGGAGCCAATCTACACGAATCATTCACTGTTAAAACAGTAACTAAATGTCTTATGACAGATTTCTACAAAAGGGAAAAAATATTCTATTCCAATCGTGCAGAGTCGTGTCATTGTCATCAGAGCAACCTCCTTGATATAAATATCAAGGGGAGTGAGACCAAGAATGGCTTCCGTGGCTCTGGTTCGTGTGGTTTTCAAGGCTCCTGTTATGTTGAGACAGGCTGTTCTTTGAATTTGTTCTAGTTTGCGGATAGCTGTCGATTGTTGTTCTTAGTAATAACACCAAATGGAAATTTTGGTTAATAATTAAAGGGCTTATTGGATTATCATGATAAACCACAACAATAATATATTGTGAAAACACGTCTTCAAAGGATAAAATAAACTTTTAAAACTACTACAACTTTCATAAAATGCAATAACTTCTGCTAATTATGTTATTTGTTGTATTTGGTGTATGGCTTTTGTAACCTTATTTATTATTGTCGAAAGTAAAGATGCCTTTATTTTAAAAAGTGGCTTGTCACTTTTTTATAATAAGCCCTTGAATTGTAAATCACCTTGCCTTGTAAGTCACCAATGAATTTCAGCAGACTATTTATATACAGCACTTGCCAATAGGCTTGACAAAATAAGCGATACGCCACCTACAGTTTTAATTTGAAACCTTCCAGTGGGCCATTAATGTTTTGTTTACTCATGTGATTCAAGCATAATATAGGTTAATCTTACGGTTTCTGTTTGTATATGGTGTTTTAAAGACGTTTAATTGATAAAATTATTGTTTATTTTATCAAAATGAACCATCACTGTTGTGTTCCCATGTGTTCCTCTTGGGTAAAACTAAATAAAGAACTTAGTTTTCATACATTTCCCAAAAAAGGACAACCTGTTTTGGTAGAAACAAAATTAGGGAAACGAGAAGCTGTTGATCGGAGGGAGGAATGGATAAGAAAATTAAAAATTGGAAAGCCTGTGAGTCCGTACATGAGAGTATGTTCATTGCATTTCTCTGAAAACGATTATTTTTATAGAGGTTAGTATTTAGTCGTTTTTTGTGTTTCCGTATTAATAGTTTTTGTTTGAAGGGGACAGCTCTAAATTACATAGATTAAAATTTAATGCAGTACCGTCTAGGAAGTTACCTTTGGAAGATAAAATAGTATTATGTATTTAGGTTATGGGTTAATGTAATATAAGGTAAACATACTTTTGCTAAATAAATACACTGCCACTATCTATAAAAATGTTTAATTAATACATATATAACCAACACTAAAACTAACAAAATCCTTTACACACTTTAAAAACGAAAAATTCAACACCTAATCTTACGAAAAACCTATGGCATGTCATATGAAAACAAATGTAAACAAACTATAAATGGCCCAGCGGAGGACGAAAAAGTGACCGGTAGAGGCGCTGGAGTCTAAGCTTTTTTCGCCTATTACTTCTAGCCAAATCTTTTCTATAGTAAAATAACCTGTGTATAATTGTTTCACAACATATGTGTGCATAGCTGATTAGCTAGTAAATTATAAAAATTATTGTCAATATTTTCTTAAGTAAAAAAGAAGTGAAGAAATGTTATTTTTAGGCGTTAAAAGCAGCTCATGTAGGAGTCTCTTTGTCACAGGCCGAGGCTAGTGTGGCTGCTCCATTTACGTCTTCAATTCCAAACATTTCCTGCCTGGTACACCTGATTTTAGAAGGAAGGTGTGCCTTAGTAACTAGTTTTGCGATATTTAAGTATATGGCGCTTTATAGTTTAATACAATTCTGTACCGTCCTTATCTTGTACAAGGTTAGTAAATAAATCTCTTCGATGCTTTTGGTGGAAGTTTCCATTTTTGAAATAATATAAATTTGTTTTAGGAACATTCCATTATGGGAGATTATCAATTTTTATTTATTGATTTGATAATAACTACCAGTCTGGCTGTTACTATAGGGAGACAAGGTAATTTTGAACTAAATTTTGATTATTATATATAAATGACGAATGTGAATTGTTTGCATAAAAATTCTTATTTGTGGTACAAGTGAGTTATGACTATGAATACTAGAGAGACGAAGTTGAATCGACAATGGTCAAATTTCAAATTTCCGTCCTCGTTTCTGAGAGGTTCGCCAGATCGATGTAGGCGGCGGGTCGTTCGTAAGTAACTCTAATTTTCTTTGTTTACCAATGTAAGTAAAAGTGTTTTTCTACAAATATTGGTGAACAAATACAAAAAATTGTGAAAAAATGTTCTTAACATGAGTGGTAAAAAACAAAAGCAAGATTTGCTTCGTTCCAGGATATATAACTGAAGAACAATCTTGGCGAAATTTCAGTCTTTTTAAAGCTCCTATCGTAAGTAAAATAATGGCTTTGTTTACAATTATTGTAATATTTATCAAACCTTATCTTAGGTCCGTATTTATAAACAAAAATCAGCTGAGTCGAACTTGGGTAAGTCGTCCTTGAACGAAAATCGAAGATCGATTATATCGCATGAATTTAGAGATGGGTAGTAACAAATTCGTAAATGTACGTAACAGTTACAGATTTGCTAATATCCATCTCTAAATTCCAGTCTAACACCAGAACCACCTAGAACTATAGATACGTTGTAACCGAACTTCGATTTTAGTTCAAAGACGACTTACCCAAGTCCGACTCAGGTAAGTTCTGTTTATAAATACGGGCCTTAGACTTCGTTCAAACACAACGGAGACCTCGCGGTTGCAACCGCGCGATTTGAACTGCGGAACAAATGCAGTTGTTCGCACAGGCGTCCGCAGCGTGTAGATACATGTGAGAGACTGATCATCACCGTTCAAAAATGGAAGTCGAAGAAAATAAAAAGCAGAAGAGAAAAGAAGTATTGGGTGCATCCAATATTACGTGATCGTATGTCACATGATGTTTATATTCCAGCTTAAGAGAGTTTGTTTACAAATTCTTCATTAACTTTAGAATGTCGATAACTCCACTAACTTCTGCCAAGCGCGGATCTTCGCAATTTTATTGGAATAATGGGCACTCTGTTGGTCACATATTGCCGGTTTTTTCGACCTCATCTGTAAACAACTCAGTCCGCAAAACAACTGAACGCTCTCATTACATTGTACGGATTATGCAGGTTAGTAAGGTTTTGTTCAGACGTACCTAGCAAAATCCGCGCGGAACTTATCTACATGAAAGTAACTAGTTGTTCACACTGCTCTGAGCGGATCATCAAACAGCGCGGTTGCCACCGAACAGAGTTGGGTAGTATCCGGATACTGCTGTATCTGGATACTTTATGTGTATCCGAAAGCTGTATTCGGATACTTTTCAAATTTTGTATTCGGTATCCGTATCCGTGACCAAATTTGTAAGTATCCGGATACCGGATACTTTTTTCGGCATTCGAATACTTTTAAATTATTTACCACAATCGTAACTGATCCAATCCATATTATCTGTATTAAAATATATAATCGAAATACTTTGAGTTACCCTGTATAATTAGAAATAAAATACGTATTTTTCAATATTACAATATTTAAGACACAATTGCAATAGGTACCTACTTAAATAAAAAATAGTAAAATAAATACTTTATTATGATTTGTAGTTTTGTTTGGTGCACCCTGTAAAATTTAAGATAACGCAAAAAAAAATTCTCATCTCCAAGGATGAATTCGACGATTCACTCAGTATACAGACGGTCAGGATTCAGCATCTTGCGGTCCGTTTTTACAGGAAAAATCCTGCAAACTCTTGTCCGGTGTTAGCGTCACAAACTTGTGGAGGTACCATTAGCCCAGTTATTAGGGTTGCCAGACATCACGCTTTTGGCGTATTTGCTACGCTTTTTGACTTGCTTGTACGCGCAACGCCACAGTACGAAAAAGCCACGCTTTTGACAAAAATGTCACTCTTTTTATGCAAATACCACGCTTTTATACAAAAATAGACAAATCTGCGGGTAAATGACTCTCTTTTTTACGAAATACAAGGTGAGGACCTTTTTTTAGAAATTTCACAAAAAAGGACCTCATTATATAAAAATGCTTGATATTTAAACCTAATGCTCTGTCGTCACGGTTGTCACGCTTTTCACTTTCGGAAATCTGGTAACCCTTCATGTTTCAGTTGGCAAATACGAGAGACGGTTGTTCCTGTGTTTTTATATTGTGCAATATAACTAAACTTTCTGTATCAGTTTTAGGGCCTAACTATAATGGTTACATAATGTCATTATCTAGATTTATCGGAAGCCAGTTTTAAAAAAAGGGACAGAATAAAAAAATATATATTTTATCTTGCCAGATCAGCTTAAATTAAAAAAAAAAAATTAATATAGAATTTCGCATAAAATGTGTAAACAAAATACATTTATATCGCTTGATGAATAAAATCAAGTAAAAAAAAGGAGAATAGATTTCTCTTCATAGAAAAAGAGAAGAAATTTGGAATTTAAAGATAGTTAAGGTATTTGTATTCTGTAACGTGTGGAGAGTGGGTTACCCCCACGGCACTTAGGCATCCTCCTGAGATGTGACTGTGACTTAGCGCATATTCTATCTAGTCATGGTCGAATGCTTGTGATAAATAAAGGCTTAATTGTAAATGATTGGATTAGTCTAGTAGTTTTTCGTCGTTGGTATGAACAGTCCTAATCTAATCTAGCTCCCGAAGCTAGAATTAGAAGTTATACTTAAACAAAAAACAATAGATATATTAGATAACATTAACCACTTTTGAATTTTCAGGTCCGTCCAACGAATTAGGTTCCAAACGACCTATGAGTTCCCTGGTATCTGCCAAAAATTTGATACCTTTAATACTCCAAATCTTCACATGTGCCTTTATCCAAGTTGCTACAATATACTACCTCTTCCAACAACCTTGGTTCCGTCCAATACCGAGTAATACTATAGAACCAGTTGTCGTTTCATGGGAGAATACCTCCGTTTTTACCATATCTTGTTATCAGTACATTATTTTGGCCACCATGTATTCGAAAGGTAGACCTTACAGACAGATGTTGATAACGAATTTTTGGTTCTTGGTGACTGCCTTAAGTTTGACAATATTTACGACTTGGTTAATTGTATATCCTTGTAAGTACGTAGCAGATTTAATGAACTTGGTCTACATTCCTCACGGACGAAGGGTTGAAAATTATTTTAAGTACAGCCTGTTGGGTTTTCCAATCGTTCACTTTTTGGTGGCTCTACTTATCGAGGTAAGTACACAAATTCGATTTAATATTTTATATCCCATTGTCCTTATGCGTCTTAGTTTAAATTATGACTGTTTAAAACTTTTTTAAACTTTTCCAACCCATTTTGTTCGTAAAAGTTAGTTTTTTGCACGTTACTCGAAATTTAACAACTTTGAAGATAATCCCGAATGATGTGTATATTTTGTTTACAATTTCTCCCAATGTAGGTAATAATTATAAATTTGTGAAGGATTTTGTCCGAATATAACTAAGTCTACGATTTAAACATTCCATGATGTAGACCTCTATCGGTGACCAAATGTTTAGACTAGTCTAGAGCGCAAATTAGACATACTTTGTGTAAGTTTAAGAGCTATTGCACTTCTTCCAAATGCAATCGAAATGTGCGAATTTCAGAAAAAATATAAAAGTTAATTGAAATTGCCGAATACGATAATGACGCGAGTGTAAAAATTCACTTTTGCACAATTGATTAACAATATTTTTCCTAAGACCACAAAATATTTTCATTAGAAAACCAGGAAATGTGGCTATAGAGATTGAATCAAAATGTGGCTGGTTTTAGATTTGTTTTTTATGTAGCTTAGAATAGTTTTTAAAGTGTTTTACCTATTGTGTTTTGTCGAAATTAAAAACGTGATTTCATTTACAAACACTTTCATAGGATAATAACGGTAAAATAACATTAGGTATAAAAACTATTAGAATACAATATTGTTTTTCATTCGTCAATTTTTTAAAATACAACAAATAAGATAAACAACCTTAAAAAAGAACTTTTTTATTATTAAACATGATTACCTACTTAACTTCTTACAATTTTTTTCTGAAAATTAATCAAAATAGTATAAATTATATATTGAAAAGATTAACGGTAGATAATAAATAAAATGTACTGAGCTAACAAGCTTGTCACAGGAATTGACTAATTAAATATATTAACAAAAAAAAAACTAATAATATTGTAGTTACCTACTTTAAAATTATTTTGAAAAATGGTTAAAAATAAATATCTAGAATCTAGGTATAAAAATCGGTATTCACGATTTAATCATCAAATCTGTTTTACTATTAATATGGATTAATATAGATCAACATAGAAATTACACGACATATTTGACAGCTGATGTGGAAACTAGATATTTACACACGGGTGGAAAGTAGGTTCTTAACCACACGCGTGTGACATACGGCACTTCCCGTAAGACTAAATAGTGTGATATGTGTCACTTTCCTAAGTGGTCATAGGAAAAATTGTTTATGTTCACAAATATTAATTTATTAAAAATCTAACAGAGGCGTCACTTTCCAGACGAAAAATCTTGCAATGTAAGGGTATCGTAGTAAAGTCTCGGGAAGTCCATTCGCTTTCTTTATTGTTTAAATTTAAAATGGATGAAAGAAAAAGTTACTAGATTTTGACAAGTCGTAGATTAATTAAATCTTGTTACGTCAGGTGGCAGTTATCAAAATAATTTTGAATTTGTCAATTGGTTAAAAATTTGTATATTTTAATATTTCAAAAGTTTTTATAAGTATTCAACAAAATGGTGATCAATCAATACTAAACGCAGTTTCCTATTTTAAGAGACACAAATCTAAATGCGAGGCTCTTGAAAAGAGGTACAATCAAATGGCTGCAGAGCCATTAAATATTTCGCAGAAAACTATCTATAGACTTAGTAAACCAACAAATTCTGATAGAGTATGTGAAAAAAATGTCTAAAAAAAGTAAGCCAAAGTAAAACAAAAGTCAATTCTTTAATATTAAGTAAGTTGAGGCAAGTTATTTATAAGATGTACGAAGGTGCGCAACATGTAACAATGAAGTCGTTACATCAACGATTTTCGGAAGAAATCCGTGATGTGAAATGTTTTGCACGGTCAATTAATACACGGATTCGAAAAATTGGCTTTCGCTTTAAAAGAAGTAACAACAGACTGTTTTTATTGGAACGAATATCGATTCAGTTGAAAAAAAATGTCGTTTTTAAAAAATTTTAACAAGGAGATAGAGCTGGGTAACTTTAAGCCTGTATTTATGGATGAGAAAAAAAACAGGAGATGGAATTCGATACATAATTGTTCATGGTGGCAATGAAGAAGGGTTTATAAAAAATGCAGACCTCATATTCAAAAGTCAAACAAAAAGCGAGGATTACCATAATAATATGAACACAGAAAATTTTGAAAAATGGTTTAAGGCGAAATTTATACCTAGTCTGGATCATCTTTCTTTGATTATAATCGATAATGCCAGTTATCATTCGCGATACGTGGAACCAATTCCATGTTATAGTTGGACAAAAGATAAAATGGTAAAATGGTTACAGGAAATAGTTATTTTTTATACAAGGGAAAAAATATTAGATTTTAGCTCGAGAACTAAAATCTAATATTTTTTACTTGTATAATACACTATTTTTTCTGTCACGGGGAAAATGAGGATTTAATATTGAAAAAAATATTCTAAAATATCTGTATTTACTTATGTAAATATATCCGGGAAAAAAGTACTCACTTTTTTCCCGAGGAAACACTTTTCCCGGGAAACGGAGGAAAAATAATTTAATAAAAAGTGACATTTTGTTACCTTACAAGAGAGATAAAATGTCATACTTTTTTCCCGTCACAGAAAGAATATTAATGGTATGAAATATCAAATTTAGGAAGTTGTACGTCAAAATTTAGCTCGAAAAGAATTCCACCTAGATAGGGACCGTGCGTCTTGACTTTAACGCCAACTGGTGACAAAAATGTGAACTTTCTGGGGGGGGGGGATTTATTAATGTTTTATACGGCATTTATTGTTTAGTAATTATTAATTAAATAAAGTCGAATTATTTTCGTAATATCATTATCGAAAAAACTTGTTGCATCCGTGGATGTACAAACACATCAGTTTGGAAACGTGGATTTTTTTCGATAGTAAAGAAATTTTATAAATCTCCACAGAGCACAGTAGAAATGAGCCGGGGTTGCAAAATAAAAATTAGGGCTTCGTCAAATATTTCGCTTTTCAAATGGGTTCCGTCGCCAAAAAAGTTTGAGAAACACTGATCTAGCTTGTATCAATTTTGAGCACTTAGTTGTAAACAAATCATTTACAGAACCGACACGGAACCGATTCAGGGTCGGTTTTTCAAAGTCCCTGTTACCGATGGAATATGGATGGAACCGTTTATCATCACGAATTTAACTGCTAGCTACGTAGTCTAATAGTTTTTATTTATTCTTAGACAAGTTGGCATTTCTGCTAATTTATTAAATGGTTTTTATTGGATAATTTAAATTTTCCGCTTTACATATCGTGTCTTGTGTTGATCGTCACCGACCTTCTGAAATTTGCTTATCTTACAGAATGTAAAAAAATACGTTTGGCGCTCGGGGACTGCCGCGGTAAAGCTATTGCATAGCATTTTGTATCAACTTATGCAATTATAATTATTTATTTATTTTATTTATGCAGTTTTTTCTTTGATATTAATTCCAGTTACACTTTTTGAGCGTGGTGAGCGATAAGAAAACAATTTTTTTTCTTTTATTGAATAAATCACTGATCTGTATTATTTTACTGGATAGGATATAGCCCCCTAAAAAAACGTTCCGAAAAATTGGCCGATTTGGGCAAATAATATGGCGGACCGGATGTTATTTAACGTAAACTCTATTTCCATTTGTCATCACATTTGTCATTTAATTGTGTCAACAAGCTACGATGAGATGTTTTTATTGTGGAAAACAAAGTAAAAAGAGTATGAAATAAATAATAAACGTTCATTCCTGAAGACACAGTATGCTTCACGTTTCCATTTTTATATTTTCTTTCATAAAAAATTATTAATTAACTTAATTATTACAAATCAAGTTTAACCAGCTATCATTCAAATAAATTGAAACCTTTCCCGAAGGACATCGCCCGCAAAAGGAATAGAAGAAGAATAAGAAGAAAAACTATTCAAATTATAGGTTAGGTATGTCAAATTATCCCAAATTTCAGTTGTGTGAACCCACCATAATTTGCCCAAATCGGCCAGCATTGTTGCACTTCCGGTCTCCTTGGTGGAACGGTTAATTAGTATGTTAAATATAGCCTATATCCTATCCAGTAAAATAATACAGATCAGTGGAATAAATGAGAAGTTAATATTGTTTAAAATATTTTTATTATCTTACAATACATGTAGGTTATTCAGGAATTTTTATCATTGAAACTATAGGTTTATGGTAACTGAAATAAGAAACATAAGTTTGAGACTTGATATCCTCTAAATATCTGGAAAATACCATGTCAATAGTGGTCCCATATTTTGTTGTTGGTTCTTGTGGATCATTATTCAATTTCAAATTCAATTTTTCCGTGTCTAAAAGAGATAGAATCAGTTATGAGCAGTTAGCAGCTAGTCTACATGCATACGTCTAGTCGCACGCACACAAACACCGTGCCGAAGTCTACCGAACTGAAACGACGTTAGACGATACACGGCTTTCAACGCCGCACCGCTGTGCCAGTCGGAGTGGGGGTATTAGGTTTATTTTTGTTAGGGAATTTCTTTTTCGATTGTTCGATTTTACGATTTTTCGATTATTCGGTTGTCCGATTTTTCGGTTTTTAGATTTTTCGATTTTTTGATTTTTCGGTTTTTCGATTTTTCGGTTTTTCGATTTTTCGATTTCTCGATTTTTCGATTTTTCGATTTTTCGGTTTTTCGATTTTTCGATTTTTCGGTTTTTAGATTTTTCGAATTTTTGGTTTTTCGATTTTTCGCTTTTTCGATTTTCTTTTATTGAATAAATGAGAAGTTAATATTGTTAAACGCCGCACCGCTGTGCCGGTCGGAGTGGGGGGTGTTAGGTTTTTTCGTTACGAAATTTCTTGATTCGATCGCCGCGCTCAAAGCCCGCGATAAAAGCTATGCAATAGCTTAAAAAAACAGAAATTGCAATATCATGGAAACGAAATGAGAAGGTTGCAGAAAAATCTAAAATTTAATAATAAAATTCAGTTCATCGATATCGAAATAATTGGGCCGTTCCCTTACAATACACGTATTACACGGTCATCATTGATTTATATTCAATAATTTATTCTTTGACATCGTCGCTGTGAATGTATTCAAAGAAATCCAATTTTGAGAAATAATAAAATTAATAAAAATATTAACCTCTAAATTTGACAAACATCATCCTACGCATGTACAATAAATAGCTGGCGGCTATCTGTACGAAATTGCCACTTGCAAGTGTCGGTTATGGTTACAGTCAGAATAGCTGACGGCTATCATATAACTGGAGGTCGATAAACGTTTTGACAGGCAGTGTCTGACGGCTATCTCCGTAGCTGCCAGCTATCCTAAATAGCGGGAGATTGAAAAACCGGCCCTTAGAAATTAGAATCTTCAGTGTTTTACTTGTCATTAACATTTTTACATATTTAAATGAACATTTTATATAAATATAATTTTACAGATAATTAATGGTTTATTAGGTTAATTTAAACTAATGTAGAATGTTACTGTGAAATTAGAATGTCCAATTTGACAAAAATATCATGGCCCTCTTTACAATGTATTAACTATTTCTCATTTATCACTAAAATAAACAAATCATAATTAATACATTAAAATTACTGTCAAAAGAGATTGCAACAAACTTTAAAATTTTAAAAATCCAGTGATTTTTGTAAATTTTTTTACTAAAATTACCATTAAACGTGACTCAAAATAATAGATAAGTGTCCAATTACAACTCTTACCAAAGTTGTTGATGTCTCATATCAAAGTTGTTTACATTACCTTTTCAAAGTTGTATTAAATATTGCAATTATGTGTTTTATATAGTGTTATTTCTGAAATGAGAGTGGTCTAAAATAATTTACATCCATCTGTTATAAAAATTGTTTAGATCTCTTAATATTATTTTTCTACGTTTATGCAAAAAACAAAACTATATTGAACTATATTTAGTGAAAAAAACTGGTTCTTTATTGCACTCATCTGTCATTTTACTACAGCGTTTTATGATCATAAACATAAATATTCAAATCGACGCCAAATATTTAGTCCATTTTCATTTTCTGTGAAATTGTATTACGTTTTAAAAACAATTGCATACTTTATATTATTTTCAATCATTTAATAAATAAATATATTTTTCTTAACATAGTTATAGTACTTTTTCAATGGTAATCGATGCTAATTATTATTAAATATTTTGCTATTAAATTACGCTTTTTATTCTTATGCACTTAGTGTCGCCTAAATAAAACATTTTTTGGTTTTTGCATGAACGTAGAAAAAATATTGTATGCAACTCGTGCAAAAAGTGTTTATTGCACTCGACGTGTTGTCCGACTCGGCCTGACGGCCTCGTTATAAACACTTACTTTTTGCACTTGTTGCATAAATAACTATTAACTATATGAAAACTTAACTTTTAAAATACATAATAACGTGTCATGAATTAAAACTTTAATTATTATTTTTTTTTCTAAAGAAAAATGCTGAAATTTTATTTTAAAACATATTTGGGGTAGAACGGCTGCATTTAGTGGGCACTAGGAAAGGCAATATAGCAGTGCACATTGCAACCCGCTTTTCGTAATCTTTTTTATAGATGGGTGAACAATCTATATAATTATGTATATCATTGGGTGTCTCATAAACATCTCAGAGTAAAGATAAACATCTAAGGTGGATGAATGACATTTCGACATAAAGCTAAAAATAATAATTATTATTATTCTCAATCTTTTTTATTAATTTACATTTTTTAAATGTTATTCTAATACTTTTAAATACCGATATTTTGACATTGGATACACTTTTTTGAGATACAACTTTACAATTTATTGTTACTTAGCCATTTAAATCTTTTTGTTCAAAATGTATATACATACACGTCCAGATTTTAATAATTTTTCGCATTTTATATAATTTTGACCATGTACACGATATCTGGTATCTGTATTTAACTATTTATTGTATTATTATTTACTTGCAATGTTTACCCTATTTAATTCTAAAATTAAACACTAGAGTGGGCTAACTTCGGCAGTAGTGCTGCCTTTATATTTCGCGCACGCTCCCTATAGATATGTTGAGTGCATAACATATTAAAAACCCCTCCATATCACTACCAGTTCAATGCGATAAAGATGGTGTAGTCCGTGTAGTCACAGTGCAAACGGTTTTATGACGAAAATGTAACAACATAATTGTTTTCGATTGGGAAAAATACAAGCTAAAAAATTGTCTGTTTTATTATTAATTTAGGTACAACGGCAAGTAGTGATGAGTCTGAATCAGAGTCCAGTTGTGAAGAAAATTATATTGATTAAAAAAATTTATATGAGTTATCCAATAAATATTTTCTGTGCGTCTTGTTATAATATATTTTTTTAACAAAAAATCTGGTTTCACGAATTTGCACCTGTTTTGGATTATCTTTAAAAACTCTAAAAACGCTAAAAACCAATGTTCAGCTGGGAAATTTATTTATAAAATACGAAAGTAAAGTGTTCTAGTATTTGTAGACAAAATGTTAAACGTTATCTTAATTTTTTCAAAGTGACTTCTTGTATTCGTGTAAACGCACCTTAATAAAGTTTACGCTGCTAAGCAACAACAAAGCGCAACTGAAATAAGAATACACGTGCAAACTGTAACTAAAAGTGCGATACTCTTTTGTCAGAGACGTGGGGCATTTCTATCACTTTACCCCACTTTTAAACTTTATTTTTGACTATTTCTAAAAGAAAAAAGAAATTTCAAAAATGGGGCACTACGAAACTCTTGCATGCTCTGCTGTAAAGTCAAGTAAATACTCGTCTTAATTTGGTTTTTTATCTAAAATACGCCGTTTTAATGAATGCAATGATTTCCGTATTTTGAGCTGGGACTATTAGAGGATAAGAGGCCGCTGTGAATTTCCCTGATACTAAATTCTAGCGTCCAAAGAAATAACCATGAAATAATTCTTAAAAAGATTTAAAATGGTCTGAAAATACCGAAAATCATTTATAGTAGGCGGTTCAAAATATTTTTTTTTTTCAAAATTGTACCATAAAAGTTTGAAATCTGTAACCCCCTAACCATTGTACTAAGTAATTAAATTCCTTCGTGCTATTTTTCACTTCTAATTATCTTGTATATTATGCGTTTGTTTTAGGTGGGAATTAGCGATAGGGAATGGTTGAAAAAATTCATACAATTTGTATCGTGTAAATCAATGCCGAAAAATAGATACAAGCTGCTATTACAACAAAATGGATACCAGTCTTTGATAAACGTTGATGGTTAAGTAGATAACGACATATCTATGACGTAAATATTTTTCTATGGAATGTTTTGTATGTATTTTAAGTCTGAAGAATAATAGTGTTAAGATTTAATGAATATTAATATATTTTATATAGTCCGTCTTTAAGAAGGGTCTCTCGTATTATTGTTGAGAATATTTATGGAATTTTGAATTTTTTGAACTTTTTATTTTTATAACCACTATGCAATTTTACAAGTATTGTGATATTTAATGTAATAATTGAAGAAATATATATTTATTTTAAATTAAGCCTATGATGTTTTATTTTTAACAATTTGTATTGCCTTGCACGCAGTACGTAGTATCTATTCTCACCTCGTCATATATGTCAAATAATTATCACCGCTTCAGTAAAATTGATATCGTTCATTTTTGTGATAGTCTAGTGAAAGGTAAAGATAAGCTCACCTCACCTTACGACTACTCGGCAACAAGAACGGAGAATACATGGGTGCAGGGGTTACTTGCACACAATGGTATAACGGTATTTTAAACCCTTCGACCAGAAGTAGACGCGTATTATAAAATTAAAAATATACACTACCTTCTAGCGTCTAGAGAAAATCATCTATCAACTTGAGATTTACCTCTAATGCATTGATACAGTTCCATTAAAATTTCAAAATACATCTCTTAACAAGCGCAGTAGGTACTATAAAATTTCAAACAGCCTCAGTTTCCCTCCTGAAAACAACTACTCCTTTATCTAATACCACAACAAGCATTGAATTATATCAAAAGGAGAACAGATAGAAAATTGCTTTTAACAATTAACTTTGAGTTTGCTTACTAAGGATAACGTCATTCTTGGACTGGTTTCGTCCTTGTTAATACTCATCGATAAGAAATAGACATTCTCGGTTCCAATCTCCATTGGAACCTGTAAATGCGTTAAACTTCCTCATTACTCATGCCGGTGATTGAATGAGGATCTGAAGTCACAAAGTAAAAGTACGCAGTGGCTCTATGACTTCTAGTCTTGCACAGTAGATATTATATAATAATAATAATAATAATACTCTTCCTATTTATAGACATGCGTAGTCTGGTCTATACCCTATCAAAAATATTTGGGTACAAAACCTTGTAAGCGAGTTATTCAGTGAGGACGTATAGGTCGGAATAGAATCAATATTTTTTTGTCTAACAGTATTTTAACAAAATGCTTTCTCATGTTAAGTTGTATTTTCAACTGCGCGTCCTACGCTACAATGGAATATACTAATAACGTCACCACTTTCGTGTATATGACATAATTCCCCAATAATAGACAATTACCAAAATGAATGCAATACTTATAATCCAAAGTCACTGGTTTCTGAATTAGAGACAAACGTTATATCAGTAATTTTGAATCTAAAATTTTATTAATAGGACTGGACTAATAGACATGGTAAGTTTTTATTAATATCGTTTTCCTTTTTTTTATATCTAAGGTAGTTGGAGTAAAATCATTTTCAGAGTAAGAGCATCACCACGTTAAATATTTATTCTAATGATAGATCATTAGCTTCAGATGAATGTAAAATGTAAGCTTCTTACTAAATCTTAAGAGGAAAACCATCATTCTTTTCACCAGGAAAAAACTCGTGTAAAATTTAAGAATCTGAGTTTATTTCAACATCTCTCTTTGTAAAGGATAATATTAGTTCAAAGACATCTAATGCTAATGAATTGCCTATTGTTAGTAATAAAGCAACTGATCATTATAATTTTTTTTAGAGGAAACCAAATATGGGCTATTCGTAATAAAATTGCGGACAAGGCACTATGTAATCCTATTTTTGTTTTTCTAGGGCTGTGTATTAAAATCCACAGTACACAAATGTAGAGGAAGCCATTACTATAAATAAAGTGACCCAAAGATGCTATAGAAGTAAGTATTACTGTAATGTTTGTTTCAAGATTTTGAAATATTTCTATTTTACTGAAACGTTCATCTCAATTATAACACTTATTATTAAAAGCATCAAAATGTAAATAATTTATAAATATCTCATAATACATATCTGATATATCATTTTTTTAGGAGAAAACTACATGAAGAACCTCAGATTTTTTTGTATGTATGTATGTATGTATGTATGTATGTATGTATGTATTGGTTTTGAAAATTTGCTTTATTTTTCAAATAATATTTATTTTGTAATTAAGTATGGGTTTTATTTTCTAAACTATAGTACCTACTGCATTACAACAAAAAAATTGAATATGCCATGAATATTCAAAATACCATGAATATAGGCATACATAGACATCCTCAGTAAATCCAGAGAATATGCCATACATATATTTTGATAAAACTATATCGTGGGCATATGTTTCATGGTGACCTTGAATTTTCCTGAAATCTTCCTGTCATATGCCATGGCGGATATGGCATATCCATAAAATATAGGAGTATGCAGTTGAGATATGCATTAAATATTCATGCAATATTTTTGTGCTGTCTGGGATGGGATAGATCTATTTAATTTATATTTTGTTTAAAGGTTATTATTTATAAGTTAATTTTCTTTAATATAAATACTCTCTTTATACAAGGTGACCCAATGAAAACTTGACAGGGGTTTTTGGGTATTAATATAGAGGATGTTTAAAAACGCTCGGACAGATCGATTTTTGTTTGTAGGACATATTTATCATATTAACTGTCATACGTCATTCCCCTCCACTCCGTTACTCTAACCAATGCAATTTAAATAGGGAAATTGTCAAGCATGACACATCATTGAAGAGATAATTTTAAGGAGAATTCGGCAATATAATTATTTATTGCATTACTTTTGATTTTAACGCCCGCTAGCGGGTTACAAAACGTATGGCATTTCATTTGAAAGCTTATTTTATTCGAAATTTAACGCCTTGCATGCATTTTTTATTATGGTTGATTACGATGAAGTTTGTATTTCTTAACGTTTGAACTTTGCATGTTGTTTATACGGCCACATCGCGTTGTAACGTTGGCCGGGCCATGTAAACAGGCAGCGCTGATATTATTCGTTTCCTGCTCGAAATAATGCCAGCTCTATGTACTTTTCACATTGACTTGTGCAAAGCGCATTGGAAAACGTTCGATAGTCGATACTGTGTATGTTATAGTGAATAGAAATCTATTCTGTAAACTGGATAATCACGTTAAAGACCATTACGCCTAAAGCTGCCAGTATGGTATTTTAATAAAGTTAGTAGCATCCATCTACATCACAGTTCTTGATTCATGATTCATTACACAAATAAAAAATATTTGAAAAAGCAAGCGCATGAGATCGATGTATAGTAAATAAATATTATTTAAATGACAATAAAGTAAATTCTCTTTTTATTAGAGAGATATTGCAATTTTTCTATGTCAGCCACTATAATAGTGACAACGTAATTAGAGGCAAATAAATTCCATGTGCCCCTAAAATTTGAACAAAACGATACGGGACACCTTGTGTCCAGAGCGGACTGAAATGGACATACATGGACTAAAAAAAGCAAGATTTTTTATTTTCAACTTTTCGAAAAAAAAAAAAAAAAGATAATTCTTCATAAAAGTTATTGCTTGTTTCAAAACTCATAAATAATCCAAACAGAAGTTGGATATTACTTTGTTTTAGTGAAATAATGTAAAAAAAATTGTATTTTGAACACAATGAATTTTAAAGTACTTATGTTGAACCGAAAATTCTGATAATCAACTGGGTTCTAAATAGAGACATTAATTTCACTAAAGCAACATTCAACTTCTATTAGAATTATTATTATTTTTGAAATAAAAACTTCTGAAAATAAAAGGTGGGAATAAAAAGTGTTTCCTCATCTTTTTAAGTTCATTCGGGGACACCCTGTATATGCCTAGGCATTAAAAATTTACTTACTTATCCTTTTTTTGAACTATTGCTCTGCATGACCATCCGGACTGTAATAAATTAACTACAAAGTCACTATAATCATACTTGTATAATAATTGAAGGTACATAATAATTATAAAAACAACATTTAGAATAAATAATAAAAATGCGTAAATTGTATCTGTTATACTTAAAAGAAGTTTTCAATTTAATTCCATTTTTTAAACACACTGTATATACAATCGGAGAAAAAATTTGTTTCAAATGGCAGAAAAACAGATTTACTGCCTTGGCTAACGGGTCGCGCGGCAACTTTATGTCTCAACTGCCAAAGTTCTACTGTCTGCTCTTAATCCACAAATAGCTATTTTGTTACAATAACAGCTATATACTGATAGTGTTATTGCCCTCATCAAAAATCGTGTTAACAAATGAAGTCAAAAAATTTCTCATAATTTTTCATCTTTTAACAATTACCAAAATTATGTACTATAATACAAATATGTAAGTCCGGCTCAGAACGTTTCCCTACTCCTTCCACCCAGTTTTTCAGTTTTGGCAAAATTCGCGCAGTGGCAATAGACCTTTTCATCATAATTTTTTTTTGTGCGCATGCGACAGTATCAGCCATCTTTTTCGTACTGTTTTTGTAAAATAAGCATGTTAAAATGCCCACGTGAAAAAAATTATAATCGATAAATATTAATGTAAGTATATTCATTTAGAAAAAAGGAAGAAAAAGCAAAGTAATAATAATTTTAGTGTCTTAATTGAAAAATATATTTTTGCAATCAATTATAATTATGTTATCTGTACGGAAAGGAATAACGAAACGGTGTTGTTATGGAGTATGTAAAATTGACACACGGTATAAATCATTCAAAGGCAATACATACAATACATATTATTTTATAAATATTCCAAAGCCTTGGCTGCAATATCGTAAAAAATTATCAATTTATCAAGCAAATGTGCATTAGGTGCGAAACAATGTGGTCGAAGACCGAAGTGACAACGGTTTTCGATGGATTGATGATATTACTGAATATACTTATATTTGTTAATTACATTTTCATGGAGAAAGTGGTCCAACAGAAGAAAATTATTATCTGGTATTAAACAATATTTTTTTTAATATTAAATTCTACTTCGGTATACACAGTAATATGATTAAAAATGTCATGTTGATCCTCAAAATATTAAATAATATATTTTATTAATTATACTCATGATTAACTTTCATGTTAATTAAAGTGTTTTTGCATGTACTAATAGTTGGTTGGCATAATTAATTAGAGTAGTTATAATTATTATTTGTTTTCATTAATTTTGTACACAGTTAAGAAGTATTGATACATCTAACCTCTCAATCAGTCCACTTTTTTCGTTTGTATCAAACGTCTAAGAC